GGGCTCTTCTGTATTGGGACAACAGGAAAATCCCTGTTTATCCGCCATAATGACAATTCCCATATGAAAGCTTTAGCAGTAGAGTCAGGTGTATAAGAAGCCTGCAGACATCTCTGGATAACCCCTGTGGGCTTGTTACAGCTGCTGTCTCAGAGAAACATGATTTGCAGGTTGTGCAGTAAATAGGGGAAGGCTATGCTGTAACCTGATACAGAATAGGGAGCTATACAAAGTCCAAGCCTAATTACCTATCCGGTTTGGTGAGAGGAAGTAATATGGTTTTAACACAGTACAATAGACTTGAGTCACTGGAGCGCAAAAGAACACACAGACAATAATGCCTTATTCGTTTTCCAAAAATGTGCAAAGGCCTTGCTAAAATTCTCCCATTATATGCTTTTATTCTTTTTTTTATTGTACTTAAAGGAGTTATCTGTAATAATTTTAGTTTAAATCTGCAGTGTGGAACATTTGTTCCAGCAGTGAGAGTAATTACACAAATAACGTGTGTCAATGCGTTCTTATGTCTACACCATAGGCTCCACCATACTCCTAGTTGCTGTAGCCTACTCCGTCACTACGGTTGCTCCCCTCTTCAGCTCATTTCCGCTGACCCCCTGATTCCCTCTGCTTGCACTCAAACACCTTTATAAAGATACCCACAAATATGTGCGAACCAATAATTGCTGGTTTACAGATTTTAAAACTCCGCTATACTGCGAAATACAGACACACGTGCTGGTGATAGGCTCAATCAGCATTGTGTGAACTTGTTTGGTAAGGGATTGAATGTAAAGGAATTTAATTTATATTTAAAAAAGAAGCCCAGCTTTAAACAACTCAACTAACAACAACTGACTAAAATTATCAACAGAATGTGAAGATTATTTGAAGAGTATTGAAGTTACACAGATATCTTCGGAAGTTAGCCCTGTCTCGTAATACCACTTTGTACTTCAAGAGGCAACAGTGGGTCAATGTGACAGGAGACAGCTCTTGGTGAGAGGGAAGATGTTTGATGCTGAACTCGCAACATTTCCTCTCAGTAAACTAAAGCAAATATTGGCTATTTTACAGCAACTAACTGTAATGTTACTGACAGTGTTCATATGTTTGCTAAGTTAGCTGTTTGTTGAGAGAAAGAGCTATGGGAGGGACTGTGCATTTTCGTATTTCTTACAATAGGTTTGGACACTTCAACTTACTGCTGATAACACTGTTTGTTTGTCGTATTGATTTAACAAGTGGCCAATTTTTACACACAGCTCCTTTAATGTTATTTTCTTTTCCTGCCATCACTCCTCCTTCTTATTTCTGGATCTCACCAAAACTCTAGGAAAACAGTTTTATCTGTACTTTAAACTCTAGACTTTAGCCCTCGAGCATTTCCTCTATTGTTACAGCTCTATGACCTCAGTTGCCTTTTCCTGTTAACAGTAACACTTGTAGCTGGTAGTAGCTGTAGTCCGGTTTTAAATAACTTCACAGAACTACAACTGTCTTGATAAACACACATTTCTGTCAACTGAGGCACAACGATGTGCAAACAGCTTTCTCCCCAGTATGACCCAGTATAACAGTTTTTATCTTGTTAATTTTCCTTGGTTATATTATCCACAAGCACATGTTGTTAGCATGACACATATTAATATTTTCCTTTAAATTTCATTTTTAAATTTGCAGTTTTTGTTCTGCTTTACCAAACCTGCAGCTTCTCCACAATGCTGCTGCAGGGGCACCAGACAGATAATATCACATCAATTTTGCTTTATGTAACAATCATTCCATTAAAATTGTCTTTTTTCTTGGTTTACTTGACAACTGTGCTGATTTAATACACTGCATAAGCATTTTCTAATTCCAGTAAACTCTACACTTCATGCAGTTGCTAATATAATGGATTTTTAGGCCTTTTTGATCTTTTAAAGTGACATAATGTCTATGAATGGCCTTTTTTACAGGTTGCATGTGTTTCTGCTGTATTCTCAGATTGTATTTGATTAGTTTTAAAGGCCTGAAGAGTGACAACTTTTCAGAATGTCACAATCACAATTTTTTCTCAAAAAAAAAAGAGAACAGAATTTGTGGAGCAGCAAAAAGTTTGTTAATCTCACAAACCCTCAGATATGTCTTGCAACCCTGGGAGCAGTTGGGTACCACTGTGCTCAAAAGTATTTTATGTTACTGGGAATTTTTCACAAGAGAATAGTTCACTTCTCCTAACACCACGCTCAGACCCCTTACCTGGTGAAAGTGCTTCAGCAGCTCCGTCCAGCTCAGGAGTTCTGGCAGGCTCGGCCGGTGTCTCAGCGTTACTGGAAGAATTAGTCTCCTGGGTCTCTGAAACTGATGCTGTGGTGAGCTCAGCTGTGGTGGCTTCTCCATTGGGAATGAGAGTGGAGTGGGTCTTTAAGCTTGTGGAGTCTGACTGAATCTGTGCCTTTTGGGTGGGGATGCTGGGAAAGTCAATGAGAGGGCACGGATGAGCTGATATCCAACAATACATTATGTCTAGATTCATAGTTTTAATATCAAATCGTCCTAAGTGGATAAAACCTACATTATAATTAATTTAAACATAGATAAAAATGTGTTTTTCACTTTGGAACATGCATTATTTTACATACCTCTTACTATTATCATCCATGACTGCAACATCATTGCTCTTAGCCAAATCTTCTTGGAGACTCATCTTGTATTAGCTGCAATAACAGAGATCTTAAATTAAATTAGCATCCACACACTTTGATGTCCTTCACACAGATATGATTATCTATTATGAAACAGCTCATTTATACGAGACTGACATTCACCAAAGTCGTTGCAACAGATCAGTGCCAATGACCACTATTGCTAGTAATCACGTACAGCAGGAGTCTAAGTGTTGAAACTTTGAATATTGTGCCATAAAGCATTGGGACATCTGCACACATGCACTGTTCATAATCTTTGTCCCAAATTGTGAGAATCTCTGAGGCAAATCACCACACTTGGAAGCAGAATACACTGCATCTCAGTCCTCGCTAGTTAATTCAGATATTAAATAAAATGTACATATTGTGAAAAGGACAAAAGCATGGCTTGATGTCTTCCTCATCGCTTCCCTATAAACTGTACTGCAGACAGTGAAATAATGCCATCTAGTGTGTAAATGTTGCAACAGTGGAAACAATTCAAATAATATATTCAGAAGTCATACCTTTAAATAACTACACTATAAAAAGTAATCAATCACTTCAACATATCTGTAGACATCAAATAAAAATTAATAAGAAATGAATTACACATTCACTGACATATATACCACGATACATTCATAGGCAAAATCGTATTAGATTAAAATCTGCCAACCCAGCAGACTCTCAGTCTGACCTCAAGTTTGTAAGATAACTTTGGTCAAGATTTCTGTCGACCAAAGTTCATACAACTTACAAAACTACAGTGTGGCAATATGAAGTGGCAAAGTCTTTGCTCTGGATTATGCAATTATCAATTAAATTGCCTTGTAATGAACAAAAAGTAGATTTAAGTCTCATAAATAATTTTGATTAGTACATTGCCCAGAATGGAGACGTTATTTTTGAAAACAAGTGAGTGGTAAGTTGAATCTTCTAGCAAAAAAAAAAACTCAAGTAGCAGAAGTCTTACCATCTTATAGGAAAAACTGAAAAATCCAGAGTAGTTACAGATGATTGGTCTCAATAAGATCCAGGAGAAAATAACTCCTGCTTGCAGTTGTTTGTTGAGCTTCTAACTAGATTCAATCATTGTGGAAGAGGGGGCTTAAACAATGACTTTGTTGACCCAACAACAAGGTCAAGCAGCCCGCTCACATAAAATGGGGGCTATATTCATCTCAGTCACGTGTGTGTCTGACATATTTACCATACATACACAAAGGCTGCTGAGTTTAGCCTGTGTGTATGTGTCTATGGCTGGTAAAGACTCTAAAAGCCTAAATTAAACAGTGAAATTAATTTATTGTTTTCTGCTATTAAAAAACAATCAGCTGAAGAAAAAAAAAAAGAAACCTGTCAATGAACAAAGACTTTCTCACACAATACATGTAGTTCCCATAGCAATTTATGACAACAAAAGACACGCTAAATCTTTCACACTTTACACACTGCAACAAAGAGTGAAAACATTAAGTAAATGATATCTACCTTCTCCAGAGACAGAACTGATTGACAGTGTCTTTCAGTAGCAGGGCAGAGCTAGATCTACCTTTGCCCAGTGCAGATGCTCGACTGTTGCCCCCTGAGTAGTATCAGCCAATAGGAGACTTGCATGAGTGCATACCAAGTTCCTCTCCATTCACGCCTTGTCCAGAGGAATAGAGACTTGTGCAATCCCCAGAATACCTGCTGCAGAGGACGTGTTGAACCATTAAAGATCCACCGACAAACGTGACCAAAGGTTATGGCTGCTGGAGGTGAAGAAGATCTGGAACCTGACACACAAACAGCGTGTAGCTAGTAGAGGAGAAACCTGCTTTGTTTATAGTAATTACATAGATAAGCTGACAACTGTTGGCATTGGTGACAGTCCAAAGCATTCAACAGTAAAAAAGAATGAAGGATCCTGTAAAGTAATGTGATAAAACTTGGTTTATTGAGACCTTTATGATCCCAAATCTTCATTATCAGATATGCGTGATGAGGCCTGTCAGAAGTATTGATAAAACTAGATAAGTTTTCTTGGATTCATGAAGATAGATGAGACTTTGACCCATAGAAAAAGTTATTCAACAGTTGAACAAAACTTGTGCAACTCTTGACTCTTTTCTACCAGATTGTCATATCAAGAAATCTTTTAAATTCTTCCAGGTCTAGCTAATTGTGATTGGTATAAAAATTCATAAGGGAAAAATCAGTACGTGACAATGTGTAAGCAGTTTCAAGTGTCCGAGAATCAGCTGGTCTCGCTATTCTCTTTATGTGACCTTCATACAGGCTGGGTTTCCTCTTTTCTGTTGAGGCGTTTGTATCTCACAGCTGCATCTGTCTGACAGTCGTGATCAAGGAGGTGAACATTGTTTTTTAAGTAAATATAGAGCAAAGTTCAGCCCCCGTTCTCAAATGACCGACAGTTACCCTTCTCACAGGCACCATGGTAAGTGAGTCATACCACCCAGTCACACCAGATCCACCCCTCGCTGCTAATATCTGGGCACATGCCATCTGTGGAGGTTGTAAATGATTAGTGAGGGCAATCGATAGTGCAAGCAATGCTAAAACTTAAAGAAAAAGGTACAAAGAAACTAGACTACATGCAAGAACGTTTTAAAATTGTGTAGGTAATAAATATTGTATTATGTTTCATATCCATATAGATGTCTATTTTTTCCCTATATGATTGTAACGTATTTTTTGTCTCATTTTAAGGCTGTTTTAATCAATTATTGATGCTGTGATTGTCTGAGGTGTTTAGCATTTGGCTCATGGGTTTTGAGATTTTGGTTCCCTTCATTGGTTTGTTATTGCAACCTGTCACTTCTTTTCAAATGATCCTTTGTAATTCAACATATGCATAAAAATAAGATGTAAAATCTGTTTTGCTGAGAGCAAACCCACTGATAAAAATGTATATTGCTGTCTAGATTAAACTGGACAATGTCAGATTAAAGAACTGAGTTGAGTTTTCAGGTTTCTGTAGAAATAGTGTCTTTATTTGCAGCTGTACCAAACATAATGTCTTTACTCTTCATTTTTACATTTAATTTTTACATTTGCCAAGATCAACATATTTACATGTCATATTCTGTGAGGTGAAGGGAGTTTTTATGTGGAAATTGGGATGAGAATTTATTTTTTTTTTGGATGAACTACAGCCTTCATACATCATGTCACACTAAACATAAGACAGGGAGACAGAAAATACACATTAACATACACAGGAGACCATTATCCAGGTGGCCATGTCAGCTGTCTTCCTCCCAGGACGTGAACATGAAGGTGGTAAACTGACTGAGCGCCGTGCTTTCCATCGTTGATCACTGCGGATGATAGAAACATACCCAGAATTCAATGTGCGAGTAAACAAACAGCCTGTGTTTTCACATAAATGACAGTCAGGTAACCTACCCACTCTGTATCCCTCCTTTAGAGATTCTTGCTTGGCCACATTTTTTGCAACAACCAACAAATGTCCTAAAAGCTGAAAGTTAAAAAAAAAGAAAGAAACAAAGATGATAATTGAGCGGTCGATGTAACAGTTATGGCTTTTCAAAGATTAACATTTTGAATATGACTGAACATGGAGGAAATTTTGTGGCAAAAGCTTCAAGACCCCTCTGGATTATAGTAAAAGTAGTCAGTGTGTGGTCCTGGAAATACTAGTTTTAATCTTTATCGCTTCTTGCTTCTTGTATTTTAACGTTTTAACCTTTTATGAAATGGGCCACACATATAAAATTGCCCTCACTTGTGGTTACACTTTAATACTAGATTTAGGACTGTGGTCATGATGGTTTCAAATTGCAGAAATGAAATGCTTCTCCACTGTTTAGCGTGAATATACCCTGAAGGTTGCATATGGTGACAGCAATAAGACTTTATGCACACAACAACTGGCTCTGGGTTGAAACCTGGGGGGTACGCTGGGAGCTCGCTGTGTGGAGTTGTCCTCCCAGTGTTTATTTGTTTTCTGAGTTTGGTGTAAAAACTTGCCTGGTCTGCATAGAGCCCTGACACTGACCCCATCTAACACCCGTGAGATTAATTGCCCAACGTCAGTGTCCTCACTAATACTATTGTGGCTTAATGGGAGCAAATCCCTGCATCCAAAATCTGTGGATGCCGTCACACCAGTATGATTTGGGTGTAAAGGAATAAGGACATCTATTGTGGTAGGAAATGACGGACGAACTCACCTCAGCATCATCATCTTTGGCCTCACTTATTCTGGGAATCGGGATCCTTGGGATGACCAGGAAGTGTACAGGGGCCTGTGGGCTGATATCCCTGAATGCCAAACACTGATAAACACACAAAAACAAGCACATAGAAAGTGTGCAGCTTTACTTTATATTCCTTTATCTACAAATCAACAAGCATGTGTCAATCTCTCTCTGGACTCCACGTGGAATAAGCCAAAAGAGATAACCCCAAACATGTTTTTGAAGACGTTGTTTACCTTCTCATCCTCATAAATGATATCTGCAGGGATGCTTTTATCGATCACTCTGGAGAAGATGGTTGGAGCTGGAGAGCCATACCTCTTGCTGGCCTCCTCTGCCAGTCTGACCTCGTCACTTCTGGTGCACAGTGATCTCTGGGGACACACAGGACACATGAAAAGCTCTGAGCCGAGAACCGCTGCTCACAAAACACAGAAGAACACCTTATGAGGAAGCACAGTGAACCCAACCTCTTGGTGGTGGGGCACTGCAGGTTCCCCACAGCCACCACCAGGGCTGGCAGCACAGTTGTTGTCTCTGTGCTCGGCTGCAGATAACAGAAATAACATGTTTATGAGAACAACACTGTTTATTTTTAGAGCCGCTACCTCCGCTCGACAAACACCGTGCCATCGGTTCAGATAGGCCGTTCTGGTCCCGACGACCCGGGTCCGTAAAAGCTGACGAAACATACCGCTAGCTAGTCTTTCCGAAGTAAATATTTCAGTGTTTATCTCGGTTTTTTTTGACAAACTGCACTGTCCAAAAAATCTTGCACACAGAACTCTGCACTGTACGTCGATGTTGCCTTCAGGTAACCTCCTTGTAACGTTTATTTAGCACGTCCTCAATCGTGTCTTGAATAATGTGTGTCTGTTACAGTAGGCTCCGGAGACAAGACACATCTTGAGAGAAGTATGAAGTTTTTATATGGTCTGACATCCATTTATTAACAGGTAATTTCATTAATGCCGGGATCAGACGTAAAAAGGCGCCTCCGGTGCGAAACTGAAGTGCAATACGATTTGCTGGCCCAAAAAAGTTTGACACTCTGCCATAAATTGTTAAACATGAGTTCATGGCTCATCCTCTCCACGTTTTATAACAGGCAGTGCACATTTGGGTTGTCTAAGTCTTATTATTCCCACGATATGTCGTGTTAACCTCAAAACTTCCGACATTTTTGAGTGCATCCAAAGGGGACATGTTTTAACAAGGGTCCCTTCAAGAGCGTCAACGTTCTGCGATGCTAACTATGATGCTAACATTAGCTAGCCCACAGAATTGTTAATAATCTAATATGGCCTCAAACGGAAATAAAGTAGAATAATCCGTTTTAAGTTTTAAGGTAGACCCCGACAGCAGACATGTTGTTGAATATGGTAATTATATTTGTATTGTCCCCCCGTGCAGCAGGAGTCGCTGTTGCGGGAGGCTGCTGGTTCATTTGTCAACGGAACGGAACAACAAGTTGAAGTCACAAGAGAAACATGGCGGCCCGCACACGACTGCCCTTGCTGTTCCCCAAAAACCTGCCTCCGTTTAGAAACCAAAGGCTTGTCCACGCCGAAGCTGCGGTCAAGGAGCCCGCGTATCCCCCCGTCGTCCCCTCCGTCACGGCTAAAAGCAAATCGGCCCTGCGGCAAAAGGCTCAGCAACATGTGCAGAAGATACGAGCCTCCCCGGTGGAGGAGAAGCTCTCCCTCGTCACTCGCATCCAGCGGAAGAAATTTGTGGTTTACCCTCAGACTTTCGCACGGAACGCCGACAGATGGTACCAGCACTTTACCAAGACCGCATATATCCCGGGTCTGCCCGAGAAGTTCACCCTGAGCGCGGCGGAAGAGAGCTCTCCGCCGGCCGCAGCTCAAAGCACAGTGCCCGGGGTGGAAGGGGGTGCGTTTGGGGACATCCGCTCCTTGGTCAGTCGTGTGATTTTACAGGAGCACTGGCACATAAAGAAACGTAGAGCTTTTCTGTACAAAGAGCAGGAGCAGATCGTTGGACCTATGCTGAGAAACCTGGTGACTGGACTCACCTACAGTCTGCTCCAACACAACCCACTGTTCCTCCTCTCCAGTCTGGGTATGAATGATTGATCAGGCACCAGTCGAACTGTGTGTGTGGATTTCACTGCTTAGACATCCACGATGGCACTTTGAAATAATCATTTCCACGCCTTGTGCCTCTTCAGAACTACATTTGAAGTAATATTAAGTATGTGGCTGGTTAGCTATATGGGGCAGTAAACAATGTTCTTATTGTTACTTATTAGTCTCATATGAAAGTAGAGCAGGCTGCTGGTTCCTCTGCACCAATAATGTAACATAATTGCTGTTGGTAAAGTAATTTACAAAGCAAAAATGCCAAACATTTGCTGGTGCAAGCTTCTGAAATGTGAGGATTTGATGTGTCCTAGTATTGTAAATTCAATATCCTTTGGGTTTTCAACTGGTGGTCGTCGGACAAAAGAAGCTGTTTTTCTTTTGTCACTCAGTTTTTTCACATTTTTCTCAAAGAATAAATAACCAAGAAACTATTAAAAACTAATCATTAGTAGCAGCTCTATTTTATTCAACGCAAACAGTTTTTGGAAGTCAAAAAAGACTACATTTGAAGTATATTTAGGGCAGAGTATTGTTTAATATTTATGTTATATAATCTCCCTGTCAAGTCAAACTTCTCACATTTTAAAAATTGCTCAAACACAAGCAACTGAGAACGTTGCACACACGAAGTACAGTCTAAAAGTGACACATTTATGGTTTAAATAAATAACCATCTGAACAAAGAATAAGTTATAACAACAATAACAATACAAATCATCTCTATGACGTGACTGTTTGACCTCTGCGAGTCATATTGTTTGTGTTTCTCCGTCAGATGTTAATCCCCAGGTTAACTTTTATTGGAGGAGAGGAGAGAGAATCATCCCAAGGGGTCACCGGAGGGGCCGGCTAGAGCCAACCAGGTTCCAGATTGACGACCACCCGCACAGTCAGATTAGGATAACCCAACAACTGCCACAGGTAGAAATCATACAGGACACACCTACCAACCTGGAGCAAAAGCAAATCATAACACGCCATCGAAGGACACGTATTAACAACAATAGTTTCTGTTTAATGAGAAACATACATGTGTTTGTTTTTGTTCTAATCACTGTTTGTCATTTCCATTTCTCTTAGTTTGCCCCACTGGAGGCGTCCTATGCAGCTGAAGTTCCAGAGATCACAATAGCTCCAAACATGATGCCTCTGTTCAGAAGACAGTATGACAACAATATATTTACAGGTAATGTCATCTACAAGACACCGGTCGCATGTGTCGTACTTCATCCTGTGTATGTAAGGAGCCAAAAGAACATACATTTAGCATGTTGAATGCTGGTTACATGTGAGTTTATTATTCAGTTACCTCTCGCTGTCAGTAGGGGGCGCCAATATGCACTTTTTCAGTCAGTCAAATGCAAAAAGTCTAACATTTTCTCCAAGCCTGAGATGATTGTTTTCCTTGTTTTTGGAGATGCTATAACTGGAGACAAATATAGTTTTTTTGTGTTTTGCGTTTAGCATTTTCATTGGTCTAAGATAGTGTAATAATTCAAACAACTTGTGCTGTCCTGTAGACACATTAATGTGCAGCAGCCGGCTTCTAACAATTTTTCATCTTCATTATGGATGAATCTATAAACCTATTCAGTTAATTGTTTGGTTAATGAAACAATAAACAAGTGGATATGCTGATTTTTGTTTGGTTCGAGCAACAGTCCAAAGAAATTCAAATTGCTGTAATGTAAGACAAAAAAAGCAACATGAAGACCATCAAATATTTGCCATTTTTGCTTAAAAATTGTCGCTGATTAATTTCCTTTCGATCGACTAATTTTTGCAGCTCTGACCTTCTCTTGCAAAGTCAGTCCATCCTAGTTGGATGGAACATTTTTCATGATTGAGTATCAATTGGAAATAGAGAATATTGATAAAGATATCAATTATATGGAAAAGTTATCATCCTGAAAAAGAAATTAGAGTGGTCATTCAGGAATCCTTCCCCTTTCAGCTGTGCTGGGTTCACAAGCCGTCCTCTTGCTCTCATTAACAGGGGCCAAGTTACCAGACCCGGCGTGCTACGGTCACACTCAGTTCCACCTGGTGCCTGATCGATACCACAGAGACCGGATGGCTCGGCGGGAAGAGTCCGATCAGGTGGAGGTCTTTCTCAGAGCCAACGGACTCGCCAGCCTTTTTGCCTGGACAGGAGCTCAGGCCATGTACCAGGGTGAGTTATCGACACAGGAAAGAGACATCAGATGCATCTCTTACTGTGGCAGAGCTTATGATACAGTATATCATTTTTGTCGTGGGTGATTTGACATTTATTTTTATTTTACTTCCCTCTCATCTAGGTTTCTGGAACCACGAGGACGTCACCAGGCCTTTCGTGTCCCAGGCTGTGATCACAGACGGCCAGTTCTACTCCTTCTTCTGCTACCAGCTCAACACAGTGGCCCTCTCCGTGGAGACGGATGCCAACAACCCCAGGAAAAACCTTCTGTGGGGCACAGAGAGCCTGCGCCTGTACGAGGGTGTGAAGGACGGAGAGGTGGTGGGTCTGAACGACGATGTCATCAAGCTTTTAGTTCAGTTCCTCATGAACCAGCCGTAAAGTTCTCCAGGTTTCTGTTTTTGTGTCCGTCTGCCTTTTGAAAAATGTCTTTCCCCTTGAGTCTGTCTTCTCCAAGGCATTGAAAGAAGCAAGAAATCAAGATAAAGAGGTTTTAAAGAGCCCAACATGACAGACATGAGGAAGCTGTGGTAGATTGTATAAAATGTAATATTCAAGAATAAAAACATAAAAAAATTAATGTATTATAATAAATAATACTAATTATTATTATTATTGTGCAGATGTATGCAAAAATAAAACCATGCTTTTCAGATTGACGCTCCTTTGTGTTGGTCAGTGCTTACTCCTGAAATCTTATAAGACATTTATCCTTTAAAGGAGCACTGCACAGATTAACCCTTTCACTCCTATAACATGGTCAGACTCATGATAAACAATTTTTAAAAAAATTATCAAAGTTGATGCTGCAGAACCAGACAAACTATCTTTTATTCCACATATTCTTCCTTGTCAAAACTTGCTGCTTATGTTACCCATAATGCAACTCAACCACTGCCATGTCAGTCTTAGATTAAGGTGTCTTAGGCTAGTAGCAGCTAACGTAGCCTTGAGACGTTAGCCTCTGGCAGAGAGATGAGTGTGCTACAGAGCTCTGATAAGCTCACTTCTTTTTCACTCCAAACCCACAGATTTCTTTTCATTTCTAGAGTTGTAGTCTACAGTTTCAACTGTGACTCCAGTGACATCACTCGAGGCAGTTTATCGGATTACACGCAGCTCCCTCTGCAGCCACAGAAGCCTTTTTAATGCTTGATCTGTAAACTGAAATTAATGAAATGAGTCCTCCTTTCTTGCACCAGTGTTTAGGTTTTAGTGACATCTAGTGGTGAAGTTGCAGATTACAACTACAAGTGGTGATCAGCACTTGCTTCTGTAAAAACGACACAATTTAAGGTAACGAAAAAAGTAATGATTCCTATATCCAGGTGATTGTACCCTAATGAAAACATCTATGAATATTACATTTAATTTCTGCCAATAGATCTCTTAAATGATACACACTGGACCTTTAAGTAAGCTTCAGCGGTGTTCAATGAAACAAAGACAGTGAAATTTTGTGTAGTTTTAATTTGTTTACATATACAGTGGCACACCTCGTAGGTTAAGTGCAGGTTGATACAGTTGTGATTAAAGGACAATAGGACCTTTATAACAATCTGATGATAGATTAACATGACTACGACATAAGTATCTGCATATATATGATGATATATTTTGATATACACGTTACTAAGGTAATTTGAAGCATTTCAGGCACACATTATTGCAGGAAAAAACCTGTAAAAAGTGACAAAAGCACAGCACAGTATGAGCGGTTAGTTAAGTGCTTATTTAAAGAGTGTAAGGCACTGCTCACAAACCATAATGCATAAAAAAGATAAGTAAAGAGGAGTTGAGGTTGCCAAAAAAAGGAAAATGCACCTTCTTTTTGACAGAAAGTCATAGTGATGTGAGGCAGTTTTTGCTCAGGAAGTGATGCGGTGTCACACTGAAAACCACATAAATGCTTTGCTCTTTCAGCCATCATAACACCACTGTCCCTTAAAATAGAAAACATATCTTCCAGTGAACCGACTTGTACGATGTATCAAATGAATGACTGTTAAGTGGTGGCAATTTGTTTTGTGAAAATAATCTAGAAATAGTTGATGAGATATTGCTTTAAAGCATCATTCACATTTGAAAACAAATAAAAAGTTTTAGAGAAGCTTGGATCTGTTGGGTTTAAGTATTTCAGTCTTATACTTTCCGCTGTCTTGTTGAAGAACTTCCCTCTGATCCATTACTTTCTCCCTGTGTCCTGATGAGAGCATAAACATGTACATCATGAAAAAAATGCACATTTACATACTGCAAATCAAACTTAAAACAATAAGCACCACTCCGATAATACTCACAGTGTGTTATTTTGGTCATTCGTCTCGTTTCCTGAGAATAAGGCAGATCGTTTGAAGTTAAAATACAACATATTGCACAACACAATTACACACAAACAAGAAGACTGTCTGACTACCTGCTGTGGGCTTTTTCTTGGACTGACTCCTCTCGTAGAGCAGAATGGCGGCGACCAGGACAATCACTTCGATCACGATGGCTATGAAGGGCTTGAGAGGCTCGTAGAAGGTGATGACCTTCAGCAGTGGTGGAAGAAGTATTTAGAGTTTTTGCTCAAGTGACAGTAACAGTAAAACAAATAAAGTAAATTAAATTGCCTGTAAATTATTGTTTATTTTATATGACATATGCTGATGCATGAATGTTTAAACAGCATTTGACTGTGGTTGGTTGGGGTAGAGCTTGTTTTAACTACTTTAAATACAGTTTGGTGATTTAGTCCAAACATAGATTTCAGGCCCCTCCAGAGTGCACAAGATAAATCTGAGGGGTCGTGAGATGATTAATCGGGTAGAAAAGCAGACAAATTTGCTGTTTTTTGGTGAAATGTTGAGTTATCTATCTTTGGCAAACAATCTGAGAAGTTTAGAGGGGAAATGTTTTTGGTTGAACAGGTAACAACTCATAAACAAATGAAACATGACCAGTGGCCCCAAACAGACACTGCATTTTTCTTACAGGCCACAAGCCAAAAGGTTGGGATCCACTGGTTTAATCTTTGACAATGTATTGTATTTGATAAACCTATTGTGTGATTTAGGTAAAATACTAAAAAGTAACAAGAAATTACAGCTGTTAGATTAATGTAGTGGAGTAAAAAGTTTGATATTTCCCTGATGGTGGCAGAAATATATGCTGATTTAATGAACATGGGTTAGGGTTATGAACATAAACCAGAAATACTCTAATTATACTAGAATTGTTTTTATTAGTACAACAGTATTTGAATGAATTTACTTTAGTCACTTTTACATAACTGACCTTGAGTTCCACATGGCCTATTGCAGTGCTGATGGCGTACACCGCACCGCAGTAATACAAGCCAGAGTCGGCCTCTGTCAGGTTGTGCACCAGCAGTTTGGTCTTTCTCTCTTCATTCTTGATTTCATACCGTTGAGGCTCTGCAAAAATTTGCTCCTAGGACAAATATCAGTTCAATGAGTCAGAGGCCATAAACATGTTTAAATGTTTTTGCATTCATCAGAAGGTGGCTCATGGTGGTTGGTGTTTTTGAAAATAAATTTAAAATACTTGTAGACAGCATAGTAGGAACACATTAAAAAGTTGTTGCAAGCCGATGTGAATGTTAAGTTGCGTGCTGTGAGAGACTGCTCACAAATAACGGAAGTAAAGGGATGTTGAGGTTTAACTTTTTGCCAACAAGAAAAAAAACAAACTTCCTTTTTGACAGGTGACAAAGGCATAGTAGTGTGTGAAAGTAACTGTGTGCTTTCAGTTGTTCCACAGGAAGTGAGGCAATAAAGGGTTTAAGAATAACTAGAAATGAGCATTAGCTAGTACGTTGTTTGGAATCATTTGATTTCGATGGCGCTCCAAATTCACAATGAGGCTGTAAGTGAAAGGTAGAATAGATGAGACGGAAAGATGAAAGCCCGTACTGTGCTAGTTACTGTTTACTTGTGTTGCCCCAGTCAGTGTGTGTGAAATCTGCAGTTGGCCAATTCATTTTTATTTTTAAATGTCAAAAATGTCTCCATTTCAGTGTCTGACCAACTGTGAAATCACAACTGTTCATCACCATCACAATCTCCCTCTCTCTTTCTGAGTAATGGTGTTGAATAATGGCCTAAAACCACATTTCTGTGTGAATTGTTTTCATAATTATTGCATCAATTCTTCAGTTATGAACCAGAAGTGTGTGTCAAGGTCATTTTGAGGTCCCAATGATCTTTGACCTTTAAGTCAAACGTGTCAACAATTCCTTGTCTGATCAATTGTGAAATATGGTAATTCATTCTTGAGTTATGGTCAAAGACCTTGCGACCTTGACCTTTGACCACCAAAATCGAATCCTTGTGGATGTTTGTGCAGAGGCATAAGTGAGGTGTTTACACCTGTTTGAAGGATTCAACACACCTATTTATTACATTTCCTTGAACACACAACAAAACTTGTTGAAAAGGTGTCAATTCAAACATCACCCGTGACACAAATCTCACTGAAAGCCACACAAGAGAAGACTCTGACCAGCTCACCCACCTTGTCCGTACCATTTGCTCTATACCAGTTCCAGGTGCTGGGCATTGGTTTGGCTTCTTCCATTTTGCATGTCATCACCACATAGTCCCCCACGTAGCTGACTATCGGCTTATCTCGCACCTCACCAATCTGTGGACCTGGTGGACAACAAGGCAAAGGAGCCTAATAATGAGTGAATGGCACTCTAAAGGCTGAATTGTGTACCGATCAAGTATACACAATTTAGTTGACATTAGTTGACATTCATATTGAATAAGCAGAAGGAACTACAGAAATGTTGCCTGGGAAATGTAAACTGTGATATATATATATATAAATATATATATAACCCATGAAAGGATTTGATCTGTACCTGCCAAAAAAAAGTCTATTGTTGCTTCCCCTCCAAACACGCATGAGTAGGTTCCAAGGTCTTTTTCACTTACGATGTTGAATCTGTAAAGCAAAAATATAGTAGAGATTTTACACAAAAACCCTATGTTAAATTTAGGATGAA